TAAGCATGGATTTTTTAAGAATATTTTTTTCGGACACTATGTAAGCGGGATTCTTTAGCGTGAATTTGTTTAAGTATATTTTTCAAAGAGCATTACAATCATGGTTTTCTAAAATAATTATTTTCAAAAATCATTGCAATTGCGAATTTTATTTAAAAATTTTTTTTTCTAATATTATATTGAGATTTTCTCACTGGAACATCGCCAACAAATGTCGATTTTTTATAAATTACTTGCTTAAAGACCATTACATTTTTAATGATAATTTTTTCAAAACACCAACAAAGTGCTGATTTTTGATTTTTTTTTTTTTTTTAAGAAATAACTATCTTTTTAATTGTAAAACTTCGATTTTTATAAAGAAAAATTTTTTGAAGGGGTGTTACAAAAAGTGAAATTTTGTAGAAATATATAATTTTTAATTTTCAATTCAAATTTGTTAAAGACCATTACATTTTTATTGGTTATTATTTGCAAATTTTTGAATGAATAATTATAAAGAATGTTTTCTTAAAGTGTTAATTTTCGATTTTTTTAATGAAAATGTTATTGAACGGGTGTAAGGAAAAGTGAAATTTTTTTACCTATATTTGTTTTAACACATTGATTTTTAAGAAAACGTTTTGTAAGGCAACAAAAGAGCAAAAAAAACATAGATTTTTTGAAGAATAGATCTGGTTTTCCCTGTCTTCAGTGAAAGGCCATAAAAATTGTCTTATATATATTTTAACATATTATGAAATTGCATTTCAAAATCCATTGCATTTTTATCTATTCTATTTAATTTTCAACATCTTTTTTACCAAACATAAATATAGTGTACATCCCTGTCGACTTGGTTTATTTTTATTAGCCTCCCTTGCTTTACTTGTTTTATGATAATACTATAAAAACAATGCTATGTTAATAAATTCCATTTCTTTTTTATTGATTCTTAATGAAGACATGATGGAAAGATTTTTGCAAAAAAAAAAAAAAAGAAATAAAACCTTTAAAAATAATGTTAATCGATTCTATGCTAACGCTAAAACAAATGCTTAAAATTGTTTACTGTTTAATGTTCGATAATAAACAATTTATTTGAACTACAAATATAAATAATATGTATAAATAACAAATAAAAAATTATTGGAAACTCAAATATATATTTTTGTAAACACAGATGGTTAATAAACAATTGTTAATAAATATTATGAAAAATGGCATCCTTGAAGTCAGCTGTCGAAAAATTGTGCTTTTAGACAGATGTCGGTAAAATGTTTGTTACTTTAAAAAACATTTCTTGGGTATTAGGAAAAATAAGTAAATAAATTTGGTAAATAATTTAAAAATTTCCTGCGAGTTTTTGCAACTACTTAACATATGCTAGGATTTTTTATAAAAATTTGATATGATGCGATTTTTAGGCTTAAAAAATTAAATATTTTTTCAAGTGCTTTTTCCTGCTGTGTACATGTGAATATTTTATATTTAAATTAATCGTCATTGTCGAATTAAAATATAATTTATAGAGGTTGAAATTTGTCATATCTTGGGCCAATAGTATTATAGAAAATCGAAAATAGGTCTATTACATATTACCTATAAAGTTCGTTCAGATAAAAATCTGATAACGCATTATTAAACGATGTATTAAAACCCCAGCTATATAAAATAACACTCAATCATAAATTCAACATAGAGTTTCCAGGAAGATTATTGAAAATTCAAGGGGCTACAGAAGATTGGGAGTTTTAAATAAATTTCGGAATAAAAACCCTATATTGGATCGACATGTTTTCTTAATTAGAAAAGAATTCTGAATGAAATTCCAAAATATCGTAATGTGTCTTTTTAATATCAACAACATAATTCCCGATGAGATCTGAAATTTATGGCCGGAGCTCAAAATATTTGTCACAATAAAAAAAAAACATAAAATGTAAAATTCAATGAAAATTTGATTAAGACATCCTTTTTCAGAATATTACAATTATTGTTTTTATAAAAAAAATAAATAAATAAACATCTTAAAACAACCAAACTAAGAAAACTGATGAGGATTCGTAACGAAATCTTCTTTATCCTTCCGGAAAGTAATCTATGTTATCATAACCCAATTTAAAAATTTTGTTGAATTTACATTTTAATTTAATTAAAAAACATAATTTTTATTTTATTTTCATAAATTTATCTTTTTACACTTTTCAAAAGTTATCCGCTCAAATAGACTAACATTGAATCAATGTAGAAAGGGACAATTTTCTGTTAAAAAATTCCACAAGTTCAATCGATATCAAGATTTTAACTTTAACAGAATAAATATCTACACGAATTCGTTTTCCGAAACTATGAAATTAAGCCTGATTTCAAACTTTTTTCAATTAACATTATTATAACATTATTCAATTAATTATTATTAACATTATTTATGTCATGTTATTATTATAGAAATATGAAAGTTTTCCCCAAATTCTAAATCTGATTTTTTTGTCGTTATTATGTTAAGTACATGTTTTATTACATATTGATTTCGTAGGAAGAACGCCATTTCCTATTTTATTATTTACTTCTTATTTCTGTTTTTTTTTCGCAAACAAATCACTTAATTTCTATTTTCAATATTTTTAACAATTTTTCATAATATTTTTGCTGTTATCCGTCGAATTGTTTGGGTACAAATACGTAACACGTAAAAATTCTATCAATACCGTCGCATGAAAAACTAAACTTCTGTTTATGGACACCAGAGGCCAACCACCCACCCACTGTATAAGGAAATTGCTGTAAAGTGGGGACCTGGCCTCCCCCCTTCATTTCGAAGCATTTTCTTCTGTTGTTCTTCGTCTTTTCAAATGAAAGCAAAAGTAAATTTGCTTTCTTACTCATTTTTCATACGGTACACGTTTCAAAACGTGCCCTCTACGGCTTCTTTTTTCGTCTTCTTCTTGTAAATATTGTGGACATTTTCCATTTTGCCAACAAATATAGAATTGTGTTTTTTTAACTCTCGAGAATGCGTCTAATGCTGGAATAGCGACAGACCGAAACCAACTGTAATGAGAGCTTTGCGGTATGGAGTAGCATGGCCCTAAAGTGCAGCGCATCTTGAGCACACATTTGCCCACCACCATAAGGAAATTCCAAAAGTTTGCCGTTGACTTTCCTCCCCCAAAAGACACAATAAATGAGCTTTTCTTTAAGGGTTTCATTTATGATGCTCCTTTTATCTACGCGAGAGTTGGAAATTTGAAACCAAAAAGATTGACCCATCATCACTACTGACCAGCCATCCATTTGCTACATAAGGGCCCCTTTTGAATCTGTTTCACGTTTGAACAGAGAGATAGAAAAGCAAAGTACATTTTTGTTCATCTTTATCATCACAACAAATGCTCTCTTTGTCACACTTAAGGTAAACACTGGCCGCCACTGGCAATCTACACATTTCAATTAAAAATGTCACTGAGCACTCGACTCGCAAGTTTGCCTGGCTGGAACTAACCCAAGAAGAAGAAGTTACCCGGCTATTTTGTTACACAAAAATAGGCGTAACACTGGAAATTGCCTCGCTTGCTCTCTTTTCTCTTTGTCATTGTTGGTGCTTTTAGCCATTTGTGGTTTTTCGTTTGTTGTCAATGCTCAACGACGCCCTCACCTGTGTAAGAGCACCACACCAATGTTCTTATTGTTACTGTCCAAGTCTCTTGAACTGAGCAAGAGTTAGACAATTGTACTCTTTTTCACTTGTATTTGTTGTTGCAGTATAAGTGAGTACTACTTTCCAACAGTCTGATTGTATTGTTGAAAATCCAATATGAATTTGTGCCTCACATACACTCTCTCTTTCATGCTCATGTTTGCTTTCCTAGACACCATATCTCTTTTACTCCTATTTGGGTTACACAGCCAATATAACTGTCTCTCTCCTGCATGTGTATGCTAAATGATAGTCTATTTCATTTCTTCATTCATATTGACTGGAAATATGCTTCTTCTTCGTCTTCTTCCCAACAAATGTTTAGTGCCTGTGTGTGTGTGCATGCGTGTGTGTGCTTGCCTTTGTTGCTTTGCCTCACATATCGAATGTGTTGTGTGCTGTGGCCCGTTGCTTGGCCGTGCTATGTTCGTTCGTTGTGTTTTGTGTTCGACGAAGACGACGGTGGTGCTAGCGTGGAATAGCCGTTGTGTTGTCTGTGTGTGTCCGTGTAGTGGTGGCCCGCTTGTGTACGTGTGCCTTTTTTGAGTTTCTTTGCCTTCTGCTTACTCTCTGTACCTTCGTTTGACGATGCATGACGTTAGTTCACTTCGATAGCTCCACGAGTTTACACGTGAATATTTTAAGTCTCCGCATAAATAAGAAATAAGAAAAATTCAATTCATTCGCACAAACACACATGCAAACTTATAAATAAAATTAAAGAAAAATAACAAATTATAATAAAATTTAAAAAAAATCACCAAACCATTTCAAGAAAAAAATAGATCAACAAATTGAGAAAAACAAAAAGAATACCAATAAACAATTTCAGAAATTTCAAAGTGCGGTATTTCTGGAAAAACAAAATTTTGCACAATTCTGACAACACTGACGGCGCGTTAACGCGAGTGCGGAATTTCAAATCAACCAACCAACAACTGAAAAATAGTGTTCAAAACAATCATCATTAACAGAAAAAGTGATAATCACAAAAACCAACAAACAAACAAAGAAAAATTGGAATAATTTATTTAATACATAAAATTATAAATAATTCATATGCAAAGAGAAGAATAAAAATAATGCAAATTTAAGAATTCCAAAAATAATTCTCAACAAAAACAAACTTGGTGAAAATTTTTAAATACAATTTTCACAAGTTTATTTCAAAAGAACAACAATAAAAAATTATTACAAGCCGACGGTTATTATCAACTTGTTGCTGCTCCCCTCAAGCTTGGCTTTTGCAATCTTCCGTTTTGAAGAGTTGAAAAAAGAAAAACAAACAACAAAATAGCGTCCAATTTTTTGAACGCTTTACCGCCACCAACATTTGCTCACTGAATATTTTCTTCGTTATCCGTTACCACGCAAGACTTCAAGACGGTTGCCTCACGGTTTGAGTGGAATGAGCATAGGGACCCTGGTCTTTCTTTTGACAGATCGGTTTTCAAAGTCGTTAAACTGAGCCCCAACTTGGAGCCCTACCCCGCCAGCGTGGAGGGCCTGAACAGCCCTAGAGCGGTGGGGATGGCCGCCACCTCGTACATGACACCCTCCAGCGGTGATCTTGACATGGCATTGGGTGGTGGTTACCACACCTCTTCGCCCCGTTCCGCAGCTGATGCCGGCGAAATGAAATACATGCAGCACCATCATCACCATCACAGTGCTGCGGCAGCAGCGGCGGCCCACCATCAGCTGCCCTCGTCGCCCAGTCCCAGCACAATTGGCACCGGTGGTCCGGGTTCGGCCGGTCCAGGTGTGTCCGCTGGCAGCCTTAGTTCGGTCACTCCCACCGGTGGCCTGAGTTCAAATCCATGGACCGCTTTGCACCCCTCAGATCCCTGGGCCCTACAGTCACATCACACTCACCATCATCCCGCCGATGTCAAACAGGAAATGTCACATTTGTCACAACAACATCGGGTCCAACAGGGCATGGCTTCGCCGCATGCCTGGCATGCACCGGTCCACGCCGCTTCTCACTATGCTCCCACGGGAGGTTCACCGCTACAATACCACCATGCCATGAACGGTATGCTGCATCCTGCCCATCCACATCATCAAGGTGTTGCCCCACTCCATCATGCCTTAAGGGGAGAATCTCCCTCGTTGCCCATTCACCCGCACCACATGCACGGCGACCGTGATGTTAGCGGCGGCGAAGAAGACACACCCACCTCCGATGATCTAGAAGCCTTTGCAAAACAGTTCAAGCAACGCCGCATCAAGTTGGGTTTCACGCAGGCCGATGTGGGTCTGGCCCTTGGTACCCTCTACGGCAACGTTTTCTCACAGACCACCATTTGCCGTTTCGAGGCTTTACAGTTGAGCTTTAAGAATATGTGCAAGCTGAAACCCTTGCTGCAGAAATGGTTGGAGGAGGCCGACTCCACCACTGGTTCACCGACCAGCATTGACAAAATTGCCGCCCAGGGTCGCAAACGCAAGAAGCGCACCAGCATTGAAGTGAGCGTGAAAGGTGCCCTCGAACAACATTTCCACAAACAGCCAAAACCTTCCGCTCAGGAAATCACAGCGCTGGCCGATAGCTTGCAACTGGAAAAGGAGGTGGTGCGAGTGTGGTTCTGCAATAGGCGGCAGAAGGAGAAACGCATGACACCGCCAAATACCATGGGTGGTGACATGATGGACGGTATGCCGCCGGGTCATATGCACGGCCATGGAGGCTACCATCCACATCATGACATGCACGGTAGCCCCATGGGCACCCACAGTCACAGCCATAGTCCGCCCATGCTTAGCCCACAGAACATGCAGACTCCGACGAGCCATCAGCTTGCGGCTCACTAGCAATCAGAAATCCAGGAGTCGAACTCAGCAGCCGCTGCGTCAACTCCTGCATCGCTGCATCAGCAGCAACAACAACAGCATCAACAACACCAGCAGCAGCAACATCAACAACAACAGCAGCAGCATGGCGGTCCCAATACACCTTCCTCATCGGCCGGCTCCTCGGCCACAATGACAACGAATGTGATGTCCCCACAGAGTCCCTTGGGATCGACGAATGCTGGTCAGAATAATAACAACAACAATAACAATGATAACGATCATTTGTCGCAAGTCAAGCAGCAGCAACAACAACAGCAGCAGCAACATCAGCAACAAGCCTCCTCAATTGCGGCCGCTGCAGCCGCAGCCATGTATATGGATCCAATGCGTTATCACAGTGCCACTGCTGCCCACCATCATCATCACCAACATCCGCATCTGAATCCCGCCCATCATCCACATCTGTTCCATACCAGTGATCAGGCCGCCCTGCAACACTCCTCGGCCGCCGCTCATCATCAGCATTTGCAACAGCCGCAGGCCTCGCCGGGTGGAGGCAGCAGTAGCGGTGGTGTGTTACAAGCCTCCTCGTCGGCCGCCTCCCCCTCATCGGTGTCGTCGGCGTTGGGTGTTAGTGGTGCAGCTGGCATGCATCATTTGAATTTGAATCCCCATTCGCTGCATCATCATCAGCACCAGCAACAACATCATCACCACCACCAACAACAACAGCAGCAATTGCACGCCCGGCGCCTTTTCGAATGGAGTTTGCAATTTGGTGCAGCGGCGGCTCCAGGAGCGGCAGCGGTAAGACATTTCAATTCATTCGGTGGTTCCGGGGAATAGCATCATACAACAGCTGCTGCGGCGGCAGCAGCTTCAGCGGCATGGTTTGGCTATGAATCGTCCTAGAGTGTGAGTAGACAACAAGGAGCTGAGTGACAAGGGACGTGTGGTTGAATGTCGACATCGTCGTCCATTGGCAAGACGGGTTTAGCTCAATGTGCTAAGTCGCTTTTAAGGCATTCAGCTAAATCCTTTTGCTAAACCCCTTCGAAGACCGAGAACGAGTGAGCGGGGGAAACGTAGCAATGGAAAAAAACACAGGAATACAAATCAGTTTGGCAGTTCGAGGAATGTCGTGTGCGGTATGGCCAAGGATCCAGCTGAACCAGTGCATTAGTCTGTGTTACATTTTTAAGCTAAAAATCCATTTCGTTGTTGTTTTATTTTTTTCTTAAAGTGAGTGAGCTTTTTTTCTAAATGCAACAACCACGGAGGAAAGAGGAGATAATTTGTAAACTATTTGAGAATTCTTAAAGAAAAAAATCTGTTTTTTGTAACTTAAAAAAAAGTTTTTAAAAAACTTTATAAATGTAACTATAAATATAAATATAGAAAAAAATATGAAAACCAAGAAGAAGAAGAGATAAATACTGAGGATAATGAAAACAAAAATTAAAAAATAAGTAGAAAAAAATTATTGATGGAAGGCAATTGAAATCAAACGAGTTACAAAGTGATGTTTTATAAAAAATATTTTTTTTTGTTTTTTTATTTTATTATGTTTAATTTTCTTTTTTTTTATAAAAAAAATCTTATATATTAAGACACGGCTAAGAATGGAAAATGAAACGAAACAAAAATATTTAAAACAAACAACAACAACAGATTGATAAAGGAATGTGAAAAAGTGTTAAAAAGTGAAAAAGGAAATATTTAATTGAAATTAAAAGAAATATTGAAATGCTGTGGCAGCGTCTGTCTCAACAACGGCTGTGGCAAAGGTAAATTCAGATCTAAGTTTTTTCACAAATTAAGAAAATAACACTTTTTAACACACTTTTTCACACACAATACCAACAACAAAACACATTCCAAAATTTCCTTAAATTCCTTTATTTACTATTAAATATTATTTTTCGTTTCATTTTCCCTCCTTGGCTTCCTCAAAAAAAATTGAAAAAAAAAAACAAAAAGCCCAGAACCCATATTATTCCCCCTATTTGTTAGGTGTAGACCTAAATTTGTGTATATAGTTAAGTCATTAGCTAATAGGTAATATTTTTAAATTTATTATTAAATAATATATAATAATTAAAACATAAAAAATCTAATTATAAAATAAAAAAATATTTAAAAAAACACAAAAAAACTATCTTTAAAATTTATGCAAAGACAAAACAAAGAATATTTCTTGGTTATTCGTAGTCAAAAGGAAATAAAAAAAACAGCAGGAAGAAAGGAAAGCATTGAAGGGTCTCATCTTTCGAGGTGCCCTATTTTATTTTTTTATTAAATTTCAATCATGAACAATGTGAAAAATAAAACGGGAAAAAATACAATTAGTTTAAAAATTACGGAGGTTTTATAGGCATATTTTCTATTCCGAATAATGGTGAAAATACTGAGGACATAGGTACATTGTCTTGTCATGGGCCCAAAATTGCCTTCATTGATATTTTCCTCCTCAAGTAGTTATGAACTTTTTTTAGCCAGCCACATTTCAATATTCCTTTCAAAATTTGTATATAAAAAATATTTTTTTATTTCGTTTTTTTGTAAGTTGTCAGTGTAATATTTTTTTGTCTATAAATATTTTTTGATTGTAAAGAAATTGTATTTTATAATTTTCCACACACAAAAAAAGAAATCCTATAAATAAATATTATTATAAAAAAGAAAACAATCCTCCCCAATTTTTAAGTGTTGAACATTTGTAAGCAAAACATGAATAGAACTCTAAATTACATAAAAAATAAATACAAAAATAAAATAATTAAATGGCTCTACACAACAATTTATTAATTATATATTTAAAATGGAAACAAAATACAAACAAACAAAAATACACAAACAAACCACAAACATTCCTTCAATAAAAAATTGTATAAATAAATTAAAATAAAAATTAAACAAATCATACGATTACAAACTGTAATAATTTAAAATTAATTAAATGGAAAAAGGATACAAAACAAAAAATAAAAATAAAAAAACAACAAGTCAACGGTTCTTACCACCATTCTATACAAACAAAACAAAAATTGAAAAAAAAACACAAAAAATAAATACAATTAAAAAATTACAAAAAAAAAAAAAAATTACGAACTTTTCTTTTTATTTCAAAATATATGGGGATTTTTGCCGACGGCATTGGAACATGTGTAAGGGATTTATTTTAAGGAGGTTATATGATTTTACAGGGTTTAAAAGATTGAAAATAATAATCAAAGAAATCATTTCAATCAACTAGGAAGAATAGAAAATAAAGGCTTTCTGGTATTTTCAGCTTCGGTTTGGAATATTTCTATATCATCAATCAAGTGTTTTTTTATATATTGTGTTCTACGCTTCTGCAGTATATTTTGGATCTTTCTGAAATCATTTTATACTTGCCGATAATAATAACAAATATTATTAAAAAATATTAAATAATAATGCATTATCTTTATTTAGTGAGAAAATAAATACTGGAATCTGTGTGAAGAGTCTTGTCGTATAATTTTTTTTTTCATATATTTTGGGGGACCCTGAAATGTATTTTTAAGAGTTTTTATACATTTCATTTCCTCTTGAAATTATGAAGTCATATCTAATATTTGTTGTTGGTGTAAGTTAATAAAAAAAAATAATTATTTTTTGATATAAATAATGGTATCGCATTCGTGACATAATTTGATTTTTTAAATCATTAAAATTTGACTATTAAAGTAATAAAAAAATATTTAAATAAAACATTTGTTTAAATTATAGATCGAGCTCAATATATATTGTCTTGCCCTATATAGACATATTAGGTGTTGAAACAATAATATTTTATTCATCAATATTTTTATATTAATTTATTTTGGTTATATTGTCTACGGCTACACAATTTTGTAGAGGGTTTGTAACACAAAATTGGAGTATTTTAAAAAAATAATTGGGAAAGCTTAACGAAATCGGCAGGATTGTTTCATATAGATTATAAATTTATAACCTACAGTGTCAGCCAAAACCTAAGCAACCCCACAGTATTTTTTTTATGATTTTTTTTATTTTTCTTATTATTTATTTATAGCTTTATTATTAAAAAAATAGAAACATAAAAACAATTCATGTCGGAAATGCAAGCGGACAAGCCTAAAGCACCTCCTAAATTATTTTTGGATTATTTTTTGTAATTGGTGTTAACGATACGTTTTGTTGCTATTTTAATGCCAACTTCTATTTGCAAAAAACTCAAGTAGTTGATCTTCACAATCCTCTCTAGATACCAAATTTTTATCAATAAATAAATTTTGCAATATAGAGAAATATTGATAATTTACTGCATGACAGGCATAACTCAAAAAACGTAATTTTCGAGTTAATGATGCACGATTTTTCGCTATAATACCCTTATGTTGTGTAAAAAATTCCTATGAATATCTCTTACACAATTTGATTGAGACACTATAGAATTTACTCTGTTCTATGTAATTTCTGTGTAAATCGAAAAATTAAAAACAATTTTTTTTTTGAGTTGTGCCTTTTTTTGCAGCAAATGAGCGAAAAAAACCGGAAAAAAATTTAAAAAACTTTGAATGTTACCTATCTTGCAGCAAATTATTCTATATGTTAATATATATATATATATATATATATTATAAAAAAAATGTTTTTAATTAAAAATAAATTATGACTTTCGAATTTTCTGAAACAAAAATTATATATTTAATAATTATTAAATTATATAAAAAATATAAAAAAAGGATATTTATATTTTGATTAAAAAATTATAAATTCAAATCTAATTCTACGGTTAAAAATGTAGTACTAAATTTGCATTTATAGGTTTTTAATTAATATATAAATTTAATACAATTTTAAAACAGAATCGAAAACAAAATGGAATAACGAAAATAGATTCTCTATTTTTATATTTAACCGACGGATTTCCATTTTCAGTAACACACCAAAATTCAGGTCATGAGACATAAATGTTTATTTCATTAGCAAACGATTTTTTTACTCAAAATATCGATGCATAATTTTACATTGAAATAACTGATACACATATTTGATAGGAACTACAATAAAAATTCTTCATGGAGTACGTATGACGATCGGGTAATATTAAGGGTATTAAAGGGAGCAAAATATTTGATTAAAAGTTCTGCAGATTTTAATTCATTTATTTTGCTTTTCGAAGGAGATTAAATATTTCAAAAAAAAAAAAAAAATCTGTATTGATATATCCCCTCTTCATGCTGGATATATTTTAAACATATTTTGCTTGGTTTGAACATGTTTTACTTATTTTTGACATTTTACCTCATGGTGTTTTAATAAATAATCACTACATTCACACGAGAAATTGCTATTGCACGAAAAAAAAATCATTAAGGTATTTTTGAATGATTATCCCAGGGTAAACATAAGCCTGATACAGCAATTATAATTTAAAAGTGATTATTTACTTTATTTTTTTTATCACAGCACAATGTCTGTGTAAATCGAAAACTTAAAAAACATTTCCTGCAAATTTTTTTTGAGTTATGCCTGTCTTGCAGCAAATGAGCGATATGTGAACCGCAAAAGCTTTGAATGTTACATATCGTATTTTTGAATGTTCTATATGCATAACATAACGTTACCTAACATTCAAAAAGGCGTACCTAACAAAAGCATAATTGTGAAGGAGAATTAATTTAATTACATTTAAGGGGACCCCCCCATCCTCGGGGACCCCGCCATCCACCGAATTTATTGTGTCAGCATCAAGTGACGGCTGAAGGGCTTCTCAAACTTAAAACGCGTTTTTCTCTAAACATTTTTTGCGAATGGCGGTCACGATAACTCAAAAACTAATAATCCAATCGGTTCCAAATTTTGCAACGTTTCTATGGGAGTGTATATCTCTCGTATGAACTAGGATAAAGCCAATCTGTGAA